GCATGAAGAAATAACTATGTATGCCTCGGTAATAAACATATTAACAAAATTTAAAATATTTTTGACCTAGGTACTTCTGGAAGGTGGTCATGTACAGCGTCATAGATAGATAATCTTTTATTTTTTTTGAATTAATTTAATTCTAAATTTTTTCTTTTTAAATACTATTTTACATTATATTTTACTAAATCAAGCGTATTAACCTAATACAGAAATTTATTCTATTATTGCATAGTACAGTGTTTCACATTTTATCTTATATATACTATTTTTCACTGCTTCATTTCTCATTCGAGTTTTAGCAATTGTAGGGCATTTGTTTGGTGTCTCTACTTATAATCTTCCGATTAATTCTTATTTTCTACCTCAAGAATGGAACCTCCTCCCAACCACCAACAGTTGGTATGATTTTGTCCTTAAAATTTTAATCTCATTGCATATGTACATTCACGTCTATATTTCTCAACAAAATTCTTATTCAATATTTGATTAAAAATGATTTTGAATCATTTTTATATTATTATTTGACCTGTTATTGATTTATACTAAAGACCTGGTCTAGAAAGGTCTTAATAGTTAGGTTTTTTTTTTTTTTTTTTTAATATGTCGCACATATACATTTTATCATTTTTTTAAAAATTGCTAACTGAAATTCAATCTTGTTTTGATGGTTTTGATTATTTTTTTTTTCTTAATTTTCTTTAGAAGACTCCCAAAAGAAAGACAAAGGGTAAATGTATTATTGCAGACACTTATTATGCGAACTGCAGACTTGTACCGATTCCAGGCCTCAATGGAAAATATAAGTTGGATTTAAATAAGGTTTGTATTTATTTAAAAATTATCACATAGGCTTTTTACACTCATAATCTATCACTTTTAATTTTGAATCAACACACAACACACATATATATAAATGTATATGTGTGTGTGTGCGCGTGTGTGTATAGTTGTTTGTACTATCAAGCTATTGATATGATAACGATTAATGTTGTATATGTGTGTTTTAATTGTTTATGAAATATGATTATTGCTGCAAATGAATGTAGATTGAGGAGCAAGAATTGTTAATCCTACCGCCGGAAGAGAAAGATAGTAGATTATTAGGGTGGAAAGTGGAAGTAAGACAACGAACAAATGGAAGACATCATGACAAGGTAATAAATTGATTTCATTTAATTAATTTATTTATCATTATAATTATACATGCTATTATTATTATTATTTTTTTGTACTAGCTCTATTACATGGTAGTATCTGTTCATATACTTTCTCAACCTACATGTTATTATTTAATTCTATTAAATTTGCAAATAAAGTTTTAAAAAATTACTTTTAATTTTTTGTTCCCAATTTGTTATATGTTATGTAATTCAAGATTTCTCCTTTAATTTTTGAAATAATCTTCCAATTCTTAACTAATTAAGTTGTTAATTTAGTCCATGAGTTGTTGAACGACATTTGTGTTTAGGGTTTCTAAAGGTCTAACTTTTTAATTTTTCATTTTTTAAAAAAAAATTTCTCTTCGTGCAATTAAATTACTATGTCTTGGGGTAATATTTATTAGTAAGATACAAAATAAGTGTTATTTATGAAGGAATTTATTGAGGAGTCTTGCCATTTTAAGTTTATAGAGGAAAGAAAGGGAAACTAATATAAGTGATTTATGAGAGGGAATTGATGGATGAAAAGAGAAATTTTGAAAACAAAACCCTGGAAATTCTAAAAATAAATGTTGTTTAGCAACTTCAATTCATTAGTAGAGTCTAAATTGAAAATTTGCTAAAGAATTGACTATTGAGTGACACAGTTTCAAATAATAATAATCCTTTCAAAATAATAATAATAATAATAATAATAATAATAATAATAATAATAATAATAATAAAATGGTTAAACGAGGGCTCTTACATGCATAACTCATAACAAACTAACGATAAATAAATAAATAAATAAATAAATAAATATATATATATATATATATATATATATATATATATATATATATATATATATATATATACCTCTAATTAATTTTCTTTTTTATCATTGCGCTATATTAACATTTGTATTTTGGTTCTTGATTATCAATGTGATCACTCTGAATTTTATTTAAAAAATAAAATTCAAATAAACTAAATTCGATCTGAAATGTCTGCCCTCGTATGAAAAAAGGGTGAAGCTTGGTAAAAGCAAAAGTGTTTTGAACATTTCAGACTGAATTTAATAAATTGCAAAAAGTCAAGCTATGAACAAAATAAGGCATATTGATAGTTGAGAATTAGGGGTGGCAATACTAGTATTAGTCAAAAAATCAAAAGTGATATTATTTTTTTAATTTGCAAATAATTAGTAAATATTGAAATATAATTTGTGTGATGCAGTTCTATACCCATATACAAAATGGCGCGAAATTTAGATCGACGCCAGAAGTAATAAATTACATCGAGAACGGGAAACCAAAGAACGAGGTACATTACATACATTCTTTAATAATTGATTGATTAGTTTAATTTGCAAGCTAAGATGGGTCACTGTATTTAATCATAATTACTGTTTTTCAGAATGCAAAGAAACCAGGAAGACCGCCCAAGAGGAGTAAAAGTGAAGAAGATGAAGCCAACACTGATTCCCATCCCGCAGAAACTGAAAAGGTTAAACATGCAATATAATATAATTCTTGGAGTGGTTAATTTACTACAAATTAATTAAACATGATATGATGGTGTTGATCTGATTTAATTTGCAGGATGATAAGAGTTTATCTGAGGGGAGCCCAAGAGGACTTCTCCAGCTGGATAGAGCAAGTTTTTGTGCAGAGCTTAATGAAGAACTGATGAATGAATGGAGCTTGGTGGGCGGAAAGGGGAAGGGTATTGTTATTCATGAAGACCCACCTGGTTTTCAAAGCAAGGTCGTTTCAACTGAGAATTTAAGCGTGGAGGGGAAAGGGAAGGGAATTCTCATAGAACTGATAGAAGAGAATGATGATATGGAGAGGAATGCATTTGGTATTTATGATGGAATGTTTGGTCCACCGCCCTATACTTCCATAATGGAAGGTGGTTGGTCCATGGAAGGGAGTTCTTCATGGAACAACAATTCGCTGGATATGGGCATGAATGGAACTCCAAACCCCAATCATCTTATTGCTAATCTCCACAGCGATAACCAAGTTCCAGCTCCAGATGGTGTCTTGCCTCAAAGCACCATAGATCATCATCCCTGCAAAATTTCTGGCATGGAAAGTTTTGAAACTAATGAGCATGCAAACATGGTGGTTGCTAACAATGGAGAAAAGAACACTTCTGAGAACCCTGTCAATATGGACATGGACCATGGTATCTTAATTCATTATCTTTTTTTTTTTTTTAATATATTTTATCTTTTAATGTCTTTTTAATATCAATTTTTCTTGTGCATGGCAGGGTCATTGTTTGATGATGTCATGCCTAGTGAGGCCGAAATGGCCGAGCTCATGGGTTTTATCTATAGTGATTTAGAAGGTCAAATTTTAGTCTTTTTAATTATTTTAACAGTTAAAATATATTCTATTTTAAAGTTTGACTTTAAATGTTAACTTGCAGAGGAAAAAGAAGAAGAGACTGATGCACCAGAAGAAGAGATTGATGCGGTGCAGAACAATGAGACCGCTTTGAATAAAACTTTTGAAGATATTATTGATGATATACCCATTGTAGATTCTTTCTATGACAGATACTGGAGAGATCAACTGCCCTAGAGAAAGAATTAAGGGTGTGTTTAGGGGTGGGCGTCGGTTCGGTTTAGGTGATACCCGAATTTTATTTTGGATATTTGAAAATTTCGAGTGATGTTTTTAACACCCGATATCCGAACCAAATTTAATTCGGATATGTTCGGTTCGGGTGAAATTATTTTGGATTTACTTTGGGTTAGTTTGGATATACCCAAAATATTGTTTTATCAATTTTGAGTTTTTTTTTTTTTAATGAATTTATTATTTTATTATTTATATTTTTTCATATACTATCAAACTAAAAATAAGACAAATACTAATAATTAATTAATAGACTTTTAAAAATTAATGTGTTATTAATTATGAAATACATTTAAAACTAAATATATAAATTATAGTATTATATTTATAATAAAATTTCGGTTAATTCAGGTTTCGAGTCGGGTGTGGATAAATTTTTAACACCCCATATTCGAATCGAATTTATATTCGGATATACCAAAATTTAAAATATCTGAACCCATAACTATTTGGGTTCACCCAAAATATAAAATTCGGTTCGGGTTTCAGGTGTTGGTTCGGATAATCCGAATTACGCCCACCCCTAGGTGTGTTTGGTTCATGGGTTTAGCTATCAGAAATGAAAATCAAAGTCATTGTTATTGTTTGGTTGACAGGATTCTGGAGTACTACTATGGGATTTGATTACCCCCTTAATTAGAAAATTCATTCCCTAATAAAAAAAAGGTTCCATTCCATTATTCTCCCTCCTAATTGATAATTTAATTTTTAAGTTTGGATTAATGGTTATATATATATATTTTGTTCATATTAGTGCCTTAGATGTCTTTATATTATAATAAATTGTCTTGATTTTTTGTTCTTGTATTTTTAAAACCTTTATTCCCATTATAAGATCATACTAACCAAATAGCAATATTTGTAATCATTCTAATTCCACCCTGCAACCAAACATGTAAAATAATTTCACCAAAATCCATTACCATTACCAAGTACTTATTCCCATTCCATTCCGATTCCAGAACCAATCACACCCTAGCTTTATCTAGAAGAACTAGCTTTTTGCATTAGGAGCTGGTCAACCTAATAAGGTTGGTGGATATTAACAACTAATTTGTCATGTATCACAGAGGACATCATTTTAATGATTGAATTTTTTGGTTTTGATAACATCAAAGATTTGTCTTTGACTCAAGTCTTGGGCACCCATGACTTTAATGTTGTCATATGTATTTCAGAACTAGGAACAACAATCTTGAAATTATAGCAGAAGAAGTACAAGGATATATATTATAAAAGATGATACAGGATGAGCAGCACAGTTCATTCTCCAATTATTTTAAATAGCATTGCAACTTTGGTTGGATAAGCAGGGGAAAAAAGTGGAAAAACAATCCTTGGAAAAGCTATAAATTCAAGTTCAAGTAGATTCCTGTTACAGGAACATCACCATTACTGGAAACATCATCATTTAACCAAAAGCCAAGATAAGAATTTTACTGTGAAAGACTGGCTGGTTTCCATGCTGCAATGGATCGGAGTTACTGGCCGTTGGGCTCTGCAAGGCGTGGTGGGCATCCCATCTGCTCGAGAAACTTGGTGAGGCGCAAGTGCTTTGATGCCCACTGTTCTGCCAGTTTTTGCTCCTTAGCTTCTGCATCCCTCCTCAATCCCGCTAACTGTTCTTTGTAATCTGATTCAATTCTGTCCAGGCTAGTCTTTTGTTCTTCCATTAAAGCTTTCATCTTTGACTCAAATTCCTCCCTTTTCTCTCTGATTTTGCATGACTTCTCTGATTCAAGTTGCAACTCCACCCGCCTCAACCTCCAAGCTGCTTCTTTTTTATGGGCTGCCCAAGCACGGTGCCCTTCTTCCAAGTCTTTACAGCAATCCACGAGTTCAGTAACCATGGGGTTCTCTCCACAGGGAGGGCTAATCCCGTGATGGGGTGGAAAGCCACTCAAGGTAAGGGGGGTTTTATCGGGCCCTCTATCAGACTGTAGCCATGGAATTACAGGTGAGGGTGGGACAGTAGACGGGGAAAGACTTAAGGTAACTGATGGGGATGGAGGTCTAACAGCAGATGAGGTGGTGGTATTAGACAGCCATGGAGGAAGAAGATTTGGCGGGGTTGGAGCAGGGGGATCAGCGTGGAGAAATCCTCCTTTCGAACTAGCCATAAGCAACCCGGGGACACTCCGCTCTTTCACTATCTTCTCAGCAAACGTTTCTAAAATATGGTCGTATTTTCCCTCCTCCACTGGCTCTACTATCTTATTGTTCTCTTTTTGTTCCCTTTGCTGTTTCTCTTTGAACACTTCCCACCACTTCCCCAATCTCTTCGCAGTTCTACCCGGAACTTCAGCTGCGATTTTTTTCCATTTGTTGCCGTGTTTCGCCTGAAGATGGATAACGAGTCGCTGCTCCTCTTCAGTAAGGGATCCCTTTTTAATTCCCGGTTTTAGGTAGTTCTTCCACCTTTCCAAGCAGGACTTAGCATCTCGGTTGAGGGGTGTGTTCATGCGCTGTGACACAAGGTGCCATTCTTTCGGCCCATACTGTTTCACATATGCACGCAATAACGCATCCTCTTCAGCTCGCCACCGTTGCCTCTCCTTCATTTCCAGGTGCAAACATTATCACTGCCCATCGTCCCCAAATCATCATAATGTACCTATTGCACACAAAAAAGTCCTAAATTTCATGTGTATGAATAAATAATAATCAACAACCATTAGGTAATAATAAGCATGCAAGTTCATGAAAAAACAGAATCTAAACCATTAGGTACGCTTTCCATATACCAAAGGTTACATTATGTAGTGCCAAAAAAGACTAATAAGGTATCTTGGATGAAATCTGAGATTGATTAGGGAGGGATATAGGGGAAAACCTATGTGAAATAGAAACTGAATTTCTAAAAATTTTACTAATAAAGGAAACAAACTGCAATTCCAAATCAGTGTTTACCAGAGACACTGAAGAAAGTGATATCAAATAAACCTTAGCATCCCAGAATGATCCATCAAATCCATATATAAAAGATATTCAGTGGATAAGGAAAATGGAAGATTCTTCCACACAGCAGATACACAAGAAGTTCACACTTTACTAAGCAGAAAGGGATCATAATAAAGGTCCAATTTTTACTAAATTAGAACTCAACCTCTTATAATTGATCATTTAGACACAATTGAGAGGGTGGCTACAGGAGAGGACAATACAGGGCTGCAATGGTTCCTCCAGCACAACATCTATAAAGCAATTTATGCATGGAGAACAGTATTTAATGTCACATCTAAGATTTTAAATATACCAGATTCAATTGATCAGACAAGTAGCAAACCTGAAATTACATTCAACATATCAACTTTGGCAACCCTGAATCAAAGATTATTCTTTCAGCAGATCTTGGTTTGCAAGAGATAGTATGCTAGGAGTCCAGATCAGGAAACACAACAGCCCTATGCAAATGCAAATAGACAACTACCCTAGAGAAGATAATCTCAATAGGAGAACCCAAAAAAAAAAATCTGAAATTAATAAAAAGCCCTCAGTTAAAAGCAGACTTTAGAAAGTTTTTATCTTTATATAAAGTTTTATCTTTTCTTTTCATGCCTATATGACCTGCATTTTCAAACCATAAAGCAACAAGCAAGCCCAGTACTAAAGCAAAAAAGGTAGAACCTAAAAATTGTTTCTTTATGCCCATTCTAGAGGTATACATACAATATGAGAAGTTTTTGGAAAATCCCAAGCCAGGAGGAACAAGATTTCTCACAACCATATCCTGTAAATGGCTTAAGCCCAATTCTTGACAGACCAATCTTTGTATATGCAGTCATGTAGTTGTCAATGCATACATAAATCCATACTTAAGTACCAAAACATGCATTTAACAAGTGATACAGTACAAGACAAAATCTAGCAAGTATTGCTTACAAACATGGGTATGTAATTCTGAAGCAAGAGAAATACAAGCAGATTACAAAGAACCTCAAAAACTGCAGTTTCTGCGACACCCCATCTCTTGTTACTCTGTCGAGGGTAGATATATTAGAGCTTGAACAACTGTAGCGAGAGAGAGAGAGAGAGAGAGAGAGAGAGAGATGTGTAGCAAGAGAAATATATAAGCTTTTCTTATAAAAGTTCAGAAAATGCCATTTTCGCCACAATCCATTTCTTGTTTCTTTGTAACAGGGAAGTGTATTACAGCTAGAGCAATAAGTATTGTAGAGAGAGAGAGAGAGCACGCGAATGGTGGAGTGAAAATGAAATGAGGGCTCTAGGAGGGAATGGGGCTTGCTTCTATATTTCTCTTTTTCTTCTTGGAGGCTGACGTGTAAGGGAATGTGATGACGCAGACCCAGATTGGTGTCTCTACTCCAGAAAGGTTATAATGTGTACACACACCATATGTTTACTTTGAGGTGAAAACAATAAAAGGGCCAACCTGTTTTTACTGTTATAGCTTACTAGTAAAACTATGATAGTACAAAACTAAACTTTTTTTTAAAGAAAACACGAATTATATTAAGACATCCGAAGATAAAATATTACAAATAATAGAGGAGAATTTGTAAACCACTCTGAGCAATCAGATAAATAAATAGACTTTTTAACCAACAAGTGCACAGCTTAGTTCGCAAATCACCTAACAAAACTTAAATTAACATTAGTAAAATAACTCATTAAGTTTTTAATGTCATTTAGAACAAGGTGAACGGAGGACAAAACTAAACTAAGTATTCATTTTCTTTTTTAAACATTAGACTAATTTTAAGTGCTTAGAGTCCCTTGCCTAAGAGCTGTAGGAGGAGCCCCGTCAATCTCCATGTTTCCACTATTGTATATACACTCGGTGTACAATGAATCTTCATATTCTTTGATCAGTCAAGATTTTTCAATGACTCATAGATTCCTAGTAAGATTCTAACCCTACATTACCGCTAGTATTCATTTTACACTTTACAAAATTATTTCTCTCTCATGGATTGTGGAATGACAACTTAAGTGATGTAGATATTCATTTTAATACGAAAAAAGAATACTTCAAATTTAAGTATCACATTACAATTTATCAGACAATAATTCATAATTATTTAGTGGAATGTAAGAGTTGTTATAATGAAAATGAAAGAAGCAAATGAAATTGCATGCATAAAATATGGAATGCAATTAATACTTGTCCTACCACAAAGGCAAGTGAATTGTGAAATGAGATGAGCAAAAGAAGAAGAATTTAAATAGTGGAAGTAGGTCAAAGCAGAGCAAACGAGGAAGGAGATGGAAAGAAACAAGAGAAAAAGGCAATAAGGGGAAAAGCATCTGCCTTGATCTTTGTAAACTATCTTCTTCAAACCCTCTTAATTAGAAGAAAGGGTTCTTGAAGTTTGATGTTTCACTGCTTTTTCTCACCCCCTTTGATTTATTTTTTTTATATTTTAATGTCCCTCTGCTGTTTTTAACCATTTTTCTGCAAAAAAACTGCAACCACTAGACGTGACTATACTGCTGCCACCACTACTACTATGGTACTGCCACTAGAGACTAGAGGGGAAGAGGGTATAGATCTCAGTTGTAGCATTTTTTCTCACCCCAAAATTTGGAGATTATGGGAAATTTTACTTTTACCCTTTTGGAAACTTTGGGTATGAGGTTTTGAGTTAAATTATGGCACATCTTTCCTCTATTATTTTCATAAAGTTGTGACCTTTGGATGGAATTAAACTTTAAAAAGATTATGTAAAGAAGAATTAGCTATTTTGACTTCTTGAGTATCAACCCTCACAAATAACATTACATTAACTTCTACAACTATTTATGTACCATTTAATCATTCATCTTTTCACTTTATTTTTCACCATTTGCTAATATGATATATTTTGATTGTTAATAAATTTAAGAAGACAATATAACTTTTTTTTTTTTTGTGTGTGTGTGATAACAACAATCCACGATCACCATCTAATAGTGTGCACTTGATAAATCTTAATTTTATGCGATAAGTTAAACTAAGAAGATACAGTTAAGTATGAAATTTATGATCTTTAAATACGATAATGATGTTCTGCCTAGTCGCGTATTCCTTTTTGGGCAAAATGGTTTTTTTTTTTTTTTTGTTTTGCCAATAATTTGTAGAGGAGTTTTACTATGAGGACTCTAAATTCTACTTCATCAAATATATTTCTTGATGTGGGAAGCATAGATATGACATTTTCATCTTGTGTGTTCAGAAAAAATTATCTACATCCTAAATTTGTGAGATACAATAAAAGATAGGGGTAAAATTTGAGATCACAACTGCACAAGTAGTATTTTCCTTTGTAAGAAGATTGGGTCCATTTATATAGAAATAATGAATGTATGTATGATGTATATATGTACTATGTATATATTGGATGTATGGAATGGGAAGATTGGGAGGGGAGTTTGAATTGAATTTGGTTGAAAGATAGATGGGGCCAGGGGGAGCAGTGGGAAATGGGACAACGGGATCTTTGTATTATCTCCCTCTGGTCATGATTAGCTGGGGGATTCCCAATGCATCGTCTGCCACGTGGCAAGTTGGTCCAATCAAACGGGTATGGCTGTAGGAGGACAGCAAGTAAGAGAAAAATCAAATTTTTGGAGTTAATTTAAAAAAAAATTAGTCAAATAAGGTGAGGTAAAAAAGAGATTAAATGACTGAGAAAAAAATTCAAATTTTAATGTTATAATAGTGTAATAGAGTTAGTGGCATTAAAAAAGAAATGAAAAGGCGTTAGTATATGTTGTGCGCACTAATTTTTTTTATTGGATTGGATGTATTATACACGCTCACTGAATGCATTAGAGCATCCACACTAGTGGATAATGTGGAGTTATTTCAGTTTGCTTTCTTCCTATGTAGAGATAATAACTAATGTGAGGGGGAGATAATTTAGAAATAGTTGTCCTGCAAGTGTAGGCATAATGTTAGAATTTAAAAAAAAAAAAAAAAAAAAAAAAAAAAAAAAAAGAAGCAAGGCTGTGCGCGTTTCGCGCACAGCCTGGGCAAAAGCCGTGCATGCGCCCGGTGGCGCGTTAGGCGCCCCGACTGGCGCGCTTGACGCGTCTGATTACTTTTTTTTTTTTTTAATTTTGTTTTGTTTTGTTTTTTCTTTTTTTTTTTTTCTCCCATCCCACATTCTCTTTCCTAATCACTCTTACATTATCCCCAACCAATGTGGATGCTCTTAAGAGCATCCTTATCAGTTGAGGTTATTTCTAAGTTATTTGTGGGTCCCAGCATCCACCTCATCCTCTATCATCTCATTCAATTACAAAAAAAACCCTTCTCCACATCAATTTTGAATTATTTCTCAGTTTTTTATGCACCCACCATTTAACTCACTATATTTTAATTATTTCTCTTACTTATTGGGACCACAAATATACCATACTTTGCATAAGAAATATTTTTGAAATAACTCCTCCCCACATCAGCTATTAACTTTGAGTGGAGATAATTCATATAGAAATAACTCCTAAATAACTACTAGTGTGGATGCTCTAAAAGTAATCATCAACTAACAATTATTTTTAAATTTTATTTTTAAAATATTTATATTCTCTCCACCAACAAATCTAACTATAAAGCTTTTAAAATTTAAAAAAAAAAAAAAAAAAAAAGCAAATCTAACTATAAACCTAATATGGAGTATTTAATTTTATTGATAAAGTTGCTCTTAGAATCGCTTAGCAAACACAAAAATAAATAAATAAAGAGTTGATAAGGTCATCTTGTGAAATTATTAATTTGAGCTTTGACTATTTCTTTATGAATTAAGTCTCTCAATTTTAATTTCTTTTTACCAATTTTGTCTTTCTTTTGTTTTGATGTTAGACATGGATTAACTCAAATTGATAATTTTGCTATAGATCATTTTAGTAATTAAATTTTTTTAAAAATTGTGCATGTGATGACTGAAATGGTTCCTTTCACTAGCAAAATTACTAATTTGATCCCGAATTAACTGATAGCTAACGGCAAGACAATCGGAAAATCAAATTAGTTAAGATTTAAAAAGTTAATGGACTTAATTGATCAAAGAAATAGTCAATGACTAAATCGATAATCTCATTATAGTTAAAAGACCATTTCGACAATTAACTCATAAATAAATAATGAAAGGTACCAAGGACCGTGTGGTCTAATGGTACCAAATTGCTCCCCTATGAGGTGGTGAGTTATTCCTTTATAATAAAAAATAAAAAAGTAAATAATGAAAGGTAATAGATTAGTACAATATAAAATGTATATTGTACAACTAAGTACAATATAAAAAATTTAATACAAGCAAAATGTACAACTAAGTACAATATAAAATGTATATTCCATACCAAATTCATTCACTTTTTTAAAAAGTAACAATAACAACATCAATTGTAGGTTTATATGGTGGGGTGAAAATTTTGGAATATAATTAAAAAAAAAAAAAATGAGTGGGATGAAATGTGAAAGAGGAAATGGGTACAGTTAGGTAGGGGAGGGGTGGGGGGTGTGGGTAAAAGGGGGACTGTAGTCCGGGATTCACGGCACAACCAGACGACGTTGATGGCGACTCTACCTTACTGCTACCTTCTCTCTCCTCTGTTTCATTGTCAGTGATACGTTACGTCCGTTTCCCCCCCCCCGCCCCTCACCACCCCCTTCTCCTTCTCTCTCTTCTTTCTCTCTCTACATCACTGCTGTCGGGCTTCCCAGTACCACAATACCACCTTTTACAGACCATTTTTCCGGTTTTTACCCTCCATCTTCTAAACTATTCACTGCATTCCATATTATTATTTGAGTTTAAAAAAAGAGAAAAGAAAAAGGGAGAGGAGTGGAGAGGGGTAAAAGGGGAAAAGAGAAAGGATGAAAAGGACTTGTCAAACGTATTGTAAAATTGAGGGAGATCCTCCCTAATCTCTTTGCTCCGAGTCTGAGCCCACAATCCTCTGAATAAAGGAAAAGCCCTCTGCAGATTGGGGCGACCCATTTTCTATTTTTAATATAAAAAACAATTTCTTTCAAAAAAAAATTCAAATTGACCACTGAACGTAACTTGAAAATGTAATTAGGTCACTGAATGAAAAAAAAATACAATTAGACCACTGAACACCGTTAATGATAACCTGCTATCAGGTGAAATTAATTGCATTTGGAGTGTTCACTGACTTAATTGCATTTTTTTTGTTCAGTGACCTAATTGTATTTTCAGATTGCATTTATTGGTCAATTTAAACCTTATTTAAAAAAAAAAAAAAACAAATCTGTGGTAGTAAATCATGAAGGAGCCCTTTCTTCGCCTTTCAACTGCGGTGGATGATGATAAAGAACACAGTAACGCCTGCATCTGCACTGCATTCTCTACACCAACACAGACACGCTATTCTAATGTAAAAAAAAATATTGCGGAGCATAAGAATATATATAATTTTTTTAAAAATTGTAGAAAATACAAATAATATATATTTAAGTATAGTACAGTGATATGATAGGCATGGGAACTGGGAAGGGAGGAAAAAAAATAATAATAATAAAGAGTCGGAATGATTATTGTTGAAAATACAATACAAGGAAAAGCTAAAGCCTGCAAATATGTTATAGGGATCTGTGAGTGATTGAATGAATGAAAAGATCTGCTCCCTCTATCCACCCCACATACCTTAGCACCTGATTGGGATGCGATTTGGTTAGTAATCCCTACATTTTAATGAATTTTTAGGTTTTTGGTTACAAATTCATAATTAAAACTTCAAATTATCTTTTACAAAACGATAAGTAAACCGGGTAACTTATACAACTGCTAAGCAGTCCATTTATGCGTCTGATAGTTCGAAATGATTTTTTATTCCTTAACCCTATTTTTGTAATGTGTTGTTTTCGAACTTAAATTAATACGGAGTATTTTTTTTACTTTAAAAAAATTCATAATTAAAATTTCAAATTACGATGAACTAAATTTATTTAAATTTAATTAGTTAAGTTGATGAAAATTGAAATATATTCATATTTTTTTCTTGCATAATCAAGAATTAAAAAAAGACTTCCAGTAGAGTTTAAGGGTTTTTCAAATCACCAGGTCAAAATGCTTCACTGTCATTTTCTAATCACTTATTTGTCCTAAATTAACGAGAAAATTAACATATCTATTTTTTTTTTAAAGGTGTAAGCTCAAATTCTGTTCTAGATATACGAAGAGTGGGAATCGAGTCATTGACACATAACAATAAATATAATACGATAAAGTGTAAGACGTGATAAGTTGAATTCATTTAAATTATGATACGAGGAAGAAGTAATATTAATGTGTAATATAATCTGAAAACAAATTATAAGAGTTGTATGTAAACAATTTATCGTAATTACAAAATACATTTTTAAATTAACAACCCAAAATTATGGCAATAAACATCGTACTTCGCAAATGGTATGGTCCACAAGATCTGCAAGCATCTCTGAATTGTTAATGTATCAGAAATTATTTGTACACCTATCTACAACTCATTTATGATGGAGAAATTATTATGTACATTTTCAGAATTTAAACCTTCAGTGCCCAAAGTTTTATATGTTTAACATGTATATAATATATAATAAAAAGGTATTGGTTCAAATAAAAATAAAAAAAAAATAAAATAACTAGTTCTAACTTGTGTAAGTAACAATAATAATAACAATTCGTTGGAAAGGATTGTCACTAAATTTGTAATCACTACCTAATGATTTTTCTTATTTCATTACATGATATATATATATATATATATATATATATATATATATATATATATATATATATATATGCGCGAATTCTACTACATGTACTTATAAATCTTATTTCTTAATACGGCGGGCTTTGATAGGTTATTTTCTTTATGTGGGTTCATGTAAAAGTGTCTACGTCAATATTTTAAGTGTGGGAGTAAAATTTAGAAGTAGAGAATGAGAATACATATAATATTTTCCTATATATACACATACTAGTGTAGTACATTACTTGCAAGGTGGATCTGGGTAAAAAATACACAATTTACATACTGAATATTCACAATTTTGTAAAATATAAATTGTGAACATTAAGTATATAAAAAATTGTGAACATTCAATATATAAATTGCGTATTTTGAACCTGGATTCACCTTACAAGTGGACCCTGATGCATGGTATAACTCTTGATGTATGGATTGTGATGAAACTGGGTTCTTTGGGTCAGTGGATTAGACTTGGAAATGGATATGGGCCTTTAAACTTTAAAGGGCTAAATGTATCCATTTTTACGTGGAGTGAGTGTAACGAAATCTCATGGTGGAGTTGCTTGGACAGGGCTAATGTAGCAGGATTGACCACTCATTTTTAATATATTGCAAATTTAGTTTTAGGGTATTGCAAAATTAGCTGTGATTGAGGTATGGCTATGACTTTTGGAGTTTTGGGATAATTATCTTTCAGACAACACAACCACTTTGCATCATATTGCACTTAACAATGTGCTTATTGCCCTTATTAAAAGCTACATTGTTCTTTAATGCAACAACATGCATTAAAATAGTTAATGTTTATATTATTCACATGTAACCATTTCATTTTAATAATAATAATAATAATAATAATAATAATAATAATAATAATAATAAAGTATTTGTGATTATTAAGTGAAGACCGGTAAAAGGTCAAGTCTAGTAAATGGTGGCTAAAACATTGTTAGGACTATCTTAATTTGCATTCTTATATTATCTCTGTATAATCCTTTGTTAATGTTATTCATACTTTCAGTCCTCATCTGTTGGGCAAAGGTCGGTATAGGATAAATCTAACAATTGGTGGCTAGGGGATTGTAAGGCGAAGATTGGCAAAAGGCCAAGTTCAGCAAGCTAATTAAGAAGATTGTTGGGCGGAGTCGGTAATAAGGTATTTGTGACATTTTGCAGAAAGACAAAGCTGACTTTTAAATAACATTTTCCATCATATTAATTAGATTAATGAATTGACGTAAACTAACGTAAACTTGGGTACACGAAAATCACGCATATTACTCCCTGCAAATTAAATAAACATTAATTAGTTCCGTTTACTTAAGATACGGAATTAAACAGCTAATTGGTCAATGAAGAAACTTGTAATATGAGGGGCAAGAAACTTGTAATATTAATCCTTAACGTAGATTACCATCTTCCTCGTATGTTCCCTGGTTATTAGGTAATTGCCTTAGCCTGTTTTTCCTTTAAATTTGGACATATTGGGTCATCTCGATCTTTTACACAGAGGCGGCATGGGAAGAGGAATACTAGAAGTACTGCTAGTGGATGAAGAAGGCATTAAAGACAACCACAAATGTATTCTTGGTATGTGTTCAATGAATGTTCGTTTTATCTTCTTTAAATCTCAGGCAATTAAGTTGTAACGTATTAAGGTGGTGTGATTTAGGTTGTTTAAACTGGCTGAATCCTTGTAAGAATGCAAGAAAGCCATATGTTTGTGTTCAATATGGGAATCAACAACGCTTAAGCTGCGTGGCTAAGAGAGGTCAGTGTTGTTCCTTATTCGAGTAACGTACAACCAAACATTTTACTGTAAATATATATAGGTTAGTAATATATGTATGCTTTGGGAATTAAAATATTAATGCATGCAATATAATATAATATAATATAATGCAGGATCAGACAGGAAAAGAATATGGAATGAGAAATTCACATTTGAGGTGGAGTATCCAGACTTGGGCCTGGGAGATGAAGAACAACCCCAATATAAACTCATTTTCCGTGTCATGAACAAGCATAAATTCTCCAAAGATGAATTTCTTGGAGAAGCAAGGTTAGGGAATAAATAAATACATACATATATTCATATATACTAGGTTATGAAATTATGAATCATATGATGTTGTATCATCAAAAGTAGAATTATATACACAAAGTTAGCTATGGGCAACCTTGTCACGGACTCACGGGCCTAGAGTCTGCGTAGAGCCCAACGCCCGTGTGGCATTTTGGGGTCCCTCTTACCCGCGGACAAGCCCTATCCTTTATATGTGCTAAACTGGTTTCGTCTTACTATGAGCTCATCTGGAGAACGACAATAGCTCCCGAACAGTTATGCCCTTTGAATTGCCTCAGTCCCCTTCATAGTCAAGTAAAATATTAGCAACAAGCCCCCCAAACTTAATAGGACCGGCATGTCTGACTCGGTTAGATCTTAGCGTCTAAGGCATAACAACCCATGACGCTATTGTCGCCCCTACCCATTTTATGGCAAGCTAGCTAGTTGGATTGTTCATTCATTTGGTCTAACACGTCGTCACGTAAGCAGTGCATGACATTCTCCCCACCCAAAATCTAGCACGCCCTCGTGCTAGGGGGAAGGACTCTGCCCAATGATCGCCATATCTCGCAAAGCAGTCAGGCTAAGATAGTGGCCACCCGAGTCCCTTCACTCTCTAGGACCCATCCGCCCCTGCGGACCACTTGGATGAAGTCGTCATCAACACGTGTGCCCGCCCCTTATGCGCCATCTATGCCCACATAGTCCTCTCCTGAGAACCACACTATAGTGCAAAGTAATATAAATATGTCCCGCTCTGATACAACTTGTCATGGGCTTAGAGTCCAGCGTAGCGCTGTATGACGTCCTGGAACCCTCTTACCTAACACGCGGACCAGTCTTACCCCTCATAGGTGCTAAAATGGTTTCGTCCCACCATGATTTCATTAGGGGAACAACAATAGTTTCCGACAAGTTGTGCCCTTCAAATTGCCTCAATCCCTTCATAGTCAAGTCCAAGAGTAACGACGCGCTCCCTAAACTTAATCGGGTTGACATGTCTGACTCGGTTAAACCCTAGTATATATCCAAGACAGAACAACCCTTGGCACTATTATCACCCCTACCCATTTTATGACAAGCTAGCCAGTTGACTCGTTCATTCATTGGGTCTAACACGGTCAAGCAAACCATGTGCGATACTAAGCTGGTTTAGCTCATTGTGGTCTTTTAATTTGTCATGTAAGGTTTACCCAATGCGCATAATCAGATAGTAACTATGAATTTCTCTCGTCACTCAAACAAAGTAAATAACCTTGGTTTGATTAATTGTGTCACATTTGTTTATAAAAATGTTTCAGACCAAATTAACTATAATTATTACGTTATGTAGAGCTAGAACATTGCATGTAGTGTATTTATGTTAGTTGTAATCTTGTATCACTATTGCAAATGCAGGATTCATGTGAAGGACATCCTATCACTGGGTATGGAGAAAGGAAGGTACGAAGTAAGACATCAGAAATACAGAGTGGTGGAGTTAGACAAGACATACTCTGGTGATATCTCTGCTGTCATTACATTCATTAAGGTTTGGTTTTCTCCTCATTTTTCTTAACTACGGGGATGGAGTACTTTTTAATGATTATATCATCGATCACTTTAAATTATTGCGTTAAATTTTCACTGTTATTGTAAATACAGATTGGAAAGGGAGAAGACATTGCAAGCTGCAAAAGCAGTGATATACAAGCTAATAAGATTGTGATTTGAAGTTGGGTTAGCAACATTAGCTAAAAGATTATCCTCTTAACATTAATTAACTGATATATTTATTTGTTCGATTGTCAAATTGTATTTTGTTATTTTTCTCAACTAAATGGTAAAATTCTATGTATCTAATTGTCAGTATTAATCTAAACGATATAACTCTAACATCAAACTATAAGTCACTTGTTGAGTTACTGGAGGTCGATTGTAATTCCCCCGGCTAGCACTAAGATAAAAAAATTATGTATCTTTTGAGATAGGCCTTGCTTGCTACTAGGCAATGATCTATTGCAAGTTCATGGGGTAGTTGTGATAAAATGTGGCCCAAGAATATAATAAAAAAATCAAGAAACTAAAGATAATTTTTTTTTTTTTTTATAAGTTTGTTGTTTTTGTGGTGGTGGAAGAGGCTACTAGTTTAGTTGAGATTGGAGGGAATTCACCAAAGAGAGGCGGTGAATGCTTATGCGGCAATGTAATATGCTTTTGCTTTTGGTATTGCATTTCCGAAAAAGAAACACATAAAATATGATATGATGCTCCTTTTCGAATCTTAATTTGTTATCCTTTCTTTCTTTCTTTCGTTTGCACACCTCCGACTAAGAATCCTATGTCAAACATAACATCCAACAAACACGTATATATAGTACAAGGTTACGTTAAACATCGGCTTTCCTCCTAAATATTTGAAAATTTCTTCAACTTGAAGACATTTCTAAAGAGGTAATAAAGTTATGAGCATCGATTCAGGTCGAGTAGTTGCAGTGTACGTTTTCTTCAAGAAGCTCCAAACTCTAGACTAGTCTAGTCTAGAAAAGATAGAAGATGGTAAAAAGGCTTTGGTATTGATTCAATAATGCAATTTGCGCAAGCTGTTGAGTATGTATTTGCAGAAAGTTGGTATTGTGGGATGAGAATATATATCTATCCGATCCGTGGGGTTTGACCCAACATGCAAATTAAAGACCAGAAGATTTTTAGGGCATGAAAGAAAGGTGATAGATAATATAATGCAGAATGTCAAGTACAGTGGCTCTGCTGCGCTCGCTCTACCATTGTTTTCAACCCAAAGCTAGCTTTTCATCAAATCTAGAATGAGAGAAGTATATATATATGTATATGTATATGTTGTTTGTTTCATAACCTTTAACGTAATTCTTGGCATCATCACAGATATGGCCGCCAACTTTAATTTCTTGTTTCTATGGAGGATTTTGAGGCATACTACCTCAACTTGGTGGCACTACCTTGCAATCTTGGATATTGTTGGACCAACCCAATCACTTTATCTTTATAATTTTAAAAGTTGAATCAAAAGTTTTTTTTTTTAATATTCATTTTTAGTTGTACCCGAGGTAATCAACACTTTTAAATATTTTCTATAATTTAAGCATATTTTCTTAATTCTTTTACAGCCGTTTGATTCGCTGGAAAACATTTAAAAAGAAATGAAATTGAAATTGCAACAAAATAGATTCCATTGTTTGGTTGATGAAAAAGAAATTACAGAAATATGGATTCTATTATTTGGTTCGGTTTAGAAAAGTAAGGAATAATGAATATAAAAATCAATATGCCGCTAAAAGATAAAATTAAAGAATAAATAGGCACCTATGTACGTAATTAAGAAATTTTTATAAAGGTAAAATGGTCTAGTCATGTTTTTTTTTTTCAAGCCTTTGCGGAAAACAAAATCTCACCACTTTTCAAAGAATTTATTTTCTTTAACTTTGAGGAATGAAAAATGAATTCCATAAACCAAACAACATATTTTCCTTAACTTTTAGGAACATATAAGTTATGCATCATGTTTATATATAAATTTTAAAAATCTAAAATTATTTAAGACATCTTCAATGTACTTTTTGAAAGGAGAAAAGCCATTCATGTAAACAAAAAGCTGATGTGGAGAGAGACAAAGTGAGTGCTAATAGGCTATGGGCATAAGAAACTACAAGCACGCTAAGTCCTAACGGGGCGTTTGGTTGGAAGGAGAGAATTGTAATTCAGTGGGAAAAGAATAAGGTGAGAATAAAGTAGGAATTCAAATTACGTTGTTTGGTAGGGAGAAATAGAATTATTGAAATTGAGAAGGAAATAAGACTAAAACACCTTTGTGTAATAATAATAGTAATAACAACCAAGGGTAGTAATGTCATTTCATATGTTTTTCCTTTCTCAAATTCATTGAATTGCAATTCAACAAAATGAGAGAATTGCAATTCCCTCCAACCAAACAATGTAATTGAGGCATCCACTGAATTACAATTCAACTACAGCTAAACTACATTGAACCGCCCTAACAGGGCGTTTGGTTGGGAGTAAGGAATTAGTGTGGAAAGGAATTGCAATTCGGTGGGAAAAGAATAAGGTGGGAATTAAGTAAGAATTCAAATTACATTGTTTGGTAGGGATGAATAGAACTATTGGGTAGGGAATGAAAGAAGTGATATAAAGACTAAAATGTCATTGTGTAATAATAATAATAATAGTAATAATTAAGGATACTTTTGTCATTTCATCCCTTTTTCCTTTTCCCACAACCACCGAATTACAATTCATAGGGGGGTGCCCATGAATTGCAATTCAGCAAAAGGAAGGAATTGCAATTTTGTGGAATTGCAATTCCCTCCAACCAAACGGCGTAATTGTAGCTTCCACTGAATTGCAATTCAACTACAACCAAATTACGCCCAACCAAACAGGCCATAATGGGTTGCGGGCATAATAAATTGTGTCACTTTGTTGTAACTTATTTATTTTATATTTTATTTTGTTACTAATGTGTAAGGAGGAGAGAGGAGAATGGTTAGAAATGTCATTATAATCTTTAATTCATTATACTAAACATGAATTCAGAACCATTCAATGTGAAAATATATTTGAACATCAAAATATAATAGTCTATGTTAGTTTAATAAATTAAAAAAAAAACATATATATTATACAAAAATATATAAGATTATAATATAAATTTATGTGAAATTACAAAATTTTAGTCAATAAGTTTCCAAATAGGACCTAAGATTTTGTTCTTCCAAGTTTCGAAATATCTTGGCAGAATCCAACTTTGGTAATTCTTTTGATAAATGTAGAGGAATATATCCGAGACAACCAAAAAAATGAGTCAAGGTGCAGCGCATTCAAACTACATTTGGGGCCATCCCCATTAGCTTCCCTCCTTTTCTTTTTTTTTTTCTTTTTTTTCAACTGTACTTAAAAATTGAGAAGCAGATAAAATAAACCCCTACATTAGGTGCATTTTTTGATCTACAGAAAAGTTTACAGTTGCTACTCGAATGTGCGCTTTGGGTCATCTTATGATCCTTGTCGCCAAAGGATCATAAAAAGGTAAATCAGTCTAATTTGTCCATAGTAAATCTGTTCAAATAGAAAAAAATCGCTGTAAGTTGAACTTGGAACCTTATAGTTACCCGGCAATCCAATTTTGAAACAAACAGACAAATGCAAAAGAGTTGAAAAAAAAAAAAAAAACAAAACAAAACTCTTGACTTCTCTACCATGACAAGTCTTCGAGTAAACATATATAGGCGCAGTAGGAAGCTCCCTAAGGTACAACCTATTGGCTTTTCCAAAAGGCAACAAAGGCTTTTTAAAGCAAGGCCGCCACATGCATTTCTCAACTATCACCAAAACAAAGCATTAAGTTAGCAATTACCCAATCCGCACATCGTGACATGCTAAGCAATTCTGGATCGTTACTGCCTAACCCCCAATTCATTTTCACATTTAGGGTCTTGAAATGATGCTTTTTTCAATAGTATACACGTAAAAGTCAATACCTATGATTTCTTTACTCAAAATGGTATGAAAGAACAATTTTTTTCCTACTTATGAAAGAATAAATGAGATGACATTAGTCTCCTCGTTAATCAAAGATATGATTTAATTATCTGTAGTGACTCATTAATAAACCAGAACCTATTTAATGTCCAAAACACATGATAATAACTTAATGTCCAAAACATCAACTCATCATCCCTACCACAATAAAACCCCCAACAAAATCCCCTTTGGACCATCATAACGTGTACTACATAATCACTGCAACGCAATAAATACACACAACTAACCATATGGTGTATTGTGTATAATAATAATAATATATAAAAACAACCAAAAGCGGACTGGTATAATAATATATGTATGTAATAGTTTCATTACATATAATAATTGGTGTAAACAGTAAAGAGAGCTGCGGGCTACATTGCATTACTATTTTGCTATCCCTGCAGCCGCCTCAGCCTCCACGGCTCACCACACTTTTTCACCGTCGCCGGCTTTTCTTAACATTTCGCCGGCGACCACTTACAGACACCATAAAACAGAGCAAACCCAATCCCATGGGCTAATTAATTAAAGTAAGCAAACACTGAAGAACCCAAAAAAAAAAAAAGTAACAAAGCATATTACTTTTCCTATCCTATTATCTAATTTCCCAGACTTCAAATTTTTCCCGGGAAAGAGTAAACTTATATAAATGCATGATGACAAACAAAAATATTGTGTGGAGTTTTGAGGTGAGGAATTCTTCAGGGGTCAGTTTAGTATTTTTGGTTTTTTTTTTTTTTTGGTTTGGGGGTGCCTAGGCTCGGAAATTCTTGCCCTGGAAGGTTTGTCCGAACTGCCAATTGGCGGGCGCCACGTTCCACGAGGTGACTTGGCGACGGTCGCTGGCTCGGACCCTGAAGGAGAGGGACTGGCCCACAAGGAAGGCGCTGGTTTCCCAATTTTGCCCCCAATTCCTGGACAAAGTGATCCATGGGGTTCTGGATCCCTTAACCAAGACCTTCTGGATATCACCCGCACCCGCCACGTTGGTCACTAACACCAAATTAAAGTAACGGAAACCGTTAACGGTGAACCTAATCCCACCTTGCTTTCTGCATGGAATCCTGAAAAATAAAAGCAAACGTAAATTAGAAAATTCAGTCTTATTTAATTTCTTTATTTATTCATCTTTAAATTAGAAACAAAATCGGAGCACTTTTAGACGGTTACGAAACACAACGGCGACTAGGTAGGTATTTCGGGTAAGTAGGGGCCCACCAAAACGGCGCCACTGGCCAGTGGAGTGGAGCACTGTGAGCAGAGTAACGGAAACCGAAGCACGGGTTTTCCGGGTACTGT